GTCCTGCAGTGGTCGGAGTTGGCTGGAAAACAGCTCGAAAGCCGTCGAATTCTCACGGAAAACTAAGAAAGGGTCCTCGAGGTATTTTATGCACCAACATGCACATCTAACCTAAAAATTAGACTTAGATAGCGAGATGAGAAAGATTAAGGGAGTTCTAAGACTCACCTTTGTTGGAAACGACGAGAAATCAGAGGACAAATCATGAATAGTGGCAATGGCTACTATGCAGTTCGAACCATCAACCTGGTGTCCTGAGCACGTTAAGGGAAGTAATGATGGTCTGGGTGGTTCACCAGATAAAGAGTGGCGAGGTGTTGGTTGTTGAGCTTGATCTTGACGTGCGTCGAGATGGGAAGAAGACTCATGGAGGGAGAGATAGAGAGAGAGAGAGAGAGAGATAGAGAGCCAAGAGGGAAAAGAGATGAGGGAAAGTTTGAAAGAGAAATGAGTAGGGTGAGGTGGCAGAAAATGAGTGGTGATTCAAAGAAATAGAGACATGGAAGGAATGGGCGTGGGCCCATTGGCTCACAAAAATCTCAACAGAAATTAATAAAATAATGAAGGACAATCTATCCAAAATAGTGAATTTACTAGATTACCCCTTACCTTCGTAATTTCATAAAATCTTTGTCGTAACTCTGAATTTGATTCCGCTTGCATTTATGCGTTCGTACCGTCAATTACTTAGAGAATACAATAAAATAATAGCTCATACGTATCATGAAATGATGGCCAACGAAAGTCAACAATTTTGCCTCTAAGGCATTTTCATCAATTCACTATTTTTAATTAAAAAAATTGTAAAATTAGGGACGAGTTGTTACAGTTGCTAACCCCAACAAGGTCATGATCAAGTACGGCGAGTCCAAGTTCAATGTCCTGTACCACGGGATTTCATTAGGCAAGGCCTTTATCCTCGGCTTTTACCACGACATCGACATTGTCCCCCAAGTCGTCGCCGCCATCACCGTGGATCAGTTCAATTTTCTAACATCGCCGATTTAGTCCAAGATGTTCCCTCAATTTGCTTCCTAGATTAAAATCCACTTCCTAATTTTGCCTTGAATTCTATTTGGCTTCTAAGAAAATCACATAAATCCACTATCTTGGGTGGGGAGAGTTCTTGGAGTTGTGCTTCTTCCAGAAGAGAAAAGTGGAGGTGGAAGGAAGGGGAGTAGAGCAACGGAGGAAAGGGGAGTCGAATGAGTAGTGGAGGAGGTTGAGGTGGAGGTAGGCGGTGAGGTTGGGGTGCTTGGAGATGGCTGTCATCGGGTGGACTAAGGAAGAAGGATGGGTTTGTAGAGGTGGGTCCCATAATTTTTAATTAATATTTAAATGATTTAATTTTTAATTTTTTATATTTAATTAATTATTAATCTAGTTGGGCTAGGAAGTGGGCCCTACCTCAAGCCACATCAACATTTATCAGAGAAATTAATAGAAAAACTGACGAAGGGCTGACATTCTAACAAATTTGTAAGATGAAGTATGACGTTGTAATTTACAAAACATAAGGTATAAAATTATGGTTCGACCCATAGTTGAGGTAGTTTGTGTAATTTACCGTATTTGTTATATATTGCACCACATCTATTAAAAAATCATTAAATAAATTTAGCAGCAAAAGACTTTGCCTTCAATTGGCCCAGCACCGCGTAAAAAACTGAAGGCTCGGTTGGATTGCCATTTTTAACTTTTGTGTCTGTTTGGAAGTTTCTTGTCCTTTTTTTTTTTTTTTTTTTTTTTTTTTGCCAAACCTATGTATCACCTTTGGAGATACCCTAAACAAATCACATGAGAGTTAAAGGACACAATTAAGAGGAGTGTGGAGAAAGAGAAAATGTGTGCAGAAGTTACTCCTCAATAAATAATGGAGTAGGATTCTCTCTCCTTCAAATTCCCTCTCCTCCCCTCCACATATATCTCACTTTTCTCGTTTTCTCTCTATAAAGAAGTCAACACAAGATGTCGACATAATTTGATCGTGATCGTACAAATATAAAGGGAGAAAAGGAAAGAGGAATTTAGAGAGGAAAAAATCCTACTCCATAAATAATTGCAAAGGTCGATGACTTGGAGAAATAGCGCAACAATGCTTATACTATACAGCTTAACATTCCGTAATGTTGTTGTCTATGAGATTTATGCCATCTCCAATAGAGAGAGTTAATGGTCCAAAAGTTAAAAAAAAAAAAAAAAAAAGACCTGAATTGCCTAAAAATCATCTCTAACCGATGATTGGGTTATAATCCTAAGACCATTAATTGGCCAAAGGGGCATCAAGTTGGCCAAATTTAGCCACCCTCTTAGCCCCTTTTTTTGGCCCAACTCCTCAATTGTAATAATTGATTTAAATTCAATAACTAGATTTGAAAACATCTAAAGGTTGGTTAATTAAGTTAACCAATAAATGTAAAATATAAACTTAAAACTAATAAATTATTGAGGAGGCTAAACATAACCCCTTTGGTCGGAGATGGTATATTAGTATGGTCTGATACTATTCATTTAAAAATAATTTTTTGCAAAGCTATAATTTTGGACGGGTTTATATTTGCCCTTTCGATGGAGATGGCCTTAAGGGTGGATATCAAACGGACGAATTTGAATCCTTTTTGGTCAATTTGGTTTAGTTTTGATAAAAAAAAATAAATACAATTTAAAAATCGAATGAAACTGATTTGTTTTAGTTTGGTTTGATTTTGATACTTTTGAAACGACTAAAATAAAATTGAACCTGCTATATATTTTTAATTATTAATTATATTTTTTTATATGTGTTAGCATATTATAAGTTTCCATGATTATAAACAAATTAAAAAATTTGTTACTTGTTTTTTATGTGATATTATAACTAATAAATCGTTTGCTAGAATGAGATCTTATTTAATTGAAGTTTAGTCTTAGTTGACTTGATGAAAGTTTTGAGATGTACACATTGAAGTGTTGAATATGCTTAAATCGACCGAACTAAACTGATTAACAATAATTTGTTTGGTTCATGATCATGACTAAGAACTTTGTCAAAACTAATTCTTCTTGGGTTTACACTTGTGGATTTGCTCCATGAACTTGTTTGCTAATAGTTCTACAACAGTTCGATTTCAATGATGGCATTGATTAAAGCTAAACTAAATGAAACTGTTGAATGCTAAGTAGTTCGTTTATATTTTTATGTCAAATCAAATCAAATCAAACAGCGTCCACTCCTAATGGGAATTCAAAAATAAGGTATTCCTAAAAGGAAAATGCTAGAGAAACCATGCAAAGTATTTAATCATCAACCATTATATCATGTAATTTACAAAAATGTGATTCAAATAGATGATCTCTCTAGATTAACCTTCTCAAAAGAAGAAGAAAAGAGATCCAAAGTAAAAGTAGCCCATCAGGACAAGTTAACAACAACAGTGAGCAAAACATATATATATATATTATAGGGCTTTTATTACAAATGGTTCCTAAAATTGACCTTCACCATCAAGATGGTCCCTGAAATTGACCCGCGACATCAAAATGGTCCTTACAAATGAAAATCGATCAATGTAGTCCCGCAAGTAAGTGTCCCAAATCAATGTAGTTCTTTCGTCACAATTCTGTCAAAAATTCTATTATATGCTGATGTGACACATAAATGGATCACACAAGTCTAATTAAATTAAAAAATTACAAATAGGTTTAATAATTTAGTTGTTAATAAAAAGTTGTCAATCTAAAAACCCAATCTTGCAATCACCTCCAATCTCGGTCCACATTCATCTACCTCATTTGTTGTTTATTCTCTAAAAAAAATCTCAATACACCAATCTTTACACACTACGACACACTTCACCGAATTGAACCTGGATCAAGATCACTTGTGGCGGTAGCTTGGCCGATTGGCAACGACTTCTAGGACATCACTGTTATCATTTAGGCGATCAACATCCTCACAACCTTATCTTGGAGAGCTTGTTCGGCACTTCCCTGGTGGTCTGGTGACTCAAAAAACAGCGAGGTCTACCTTGAGATAATGAGAATATAACAAAGGTGCATCTATTGTTGGTTGAAAACTATTTCCAAACCCCCTTTTAGGCCTTGGTTAAGTCTTGTGCCTTTGAGAATTTGTGAAAGGGATCTCTCTTCGGAATAGGCACTACTATAAGAAAAAAAAAATTTCATTGTGCAAAAAGGTATTTAAACAACTTTTTTAATTAATTATTACATCCACACTAGCACATAACAATTTTTTTTTTTTACAGAATTGTGATGAAATGATCATATTGATTTGCAACATCTATTTTCAAGGATTTCATTCATCAATTTTGGACCATCTTGATGGTGTGGATCAATTTCAAGGACCATCTTGATGATGTGGGTCAATTTCAAGGACCATTTGTGATAAAAACCCGTAAATCTTGTAGGGCCATTTATGTGCCAGATTAGCACTTAACGAAAATTTTAACTTAATTGTGATGAAATGACCACATTGATTTGCGACATCTATTTTCAGGGACTACATTAATTGATTTTCAATTACAAGGACCATCTTGATGGTAAGGATCAAATTTAGGGATCATTTTGATGGTAAGGGTCAATTTCAGGGACCATCTTGATGGTAAGGATCAATTTTAGGGATCACCTTGATGGTAGATGACCATGAAGCGAATTGCCTACTTGCTGGATCGTGGGGTTTTCAAAGACTGGCTTACGGATAAAGGGGTTGATGCCGAGTTGCGAAAGTTTGCGTTGTTCGAGGTTATCGTGACTTATGATCATTCCCTTGCTGTCAAGCTTGGTGCACATTTGTTATGATCAATTGATGAATTGAATTTCATGGCATTGTTTTTTATTTGAAATTTAAGTGTGGAATGTTAAGGATGGAGTTCATTGATTTCCAAGTTTTCGGTTTGTTGATGAATTGCAGGGGCGGTGCCATTCAAGTTGCAGGCACAAAGCGCCATCACGACAAGTGGCTGAGGGCCACTGAGAATTATGCCATCATGGGTTGCTTTGCAATGTCTGAGTTGTTCAACTTCAATCCTTTGGTCTGCATTCTCATGCCTGCAGATGGTTGTTTGCCTTATTTTTTGCTAAGTTTTCACTTTTTGCTTCTGGAATTATGTTTATAGGTTCAAGGGATTGAAACAGTCACCACTTATGATTCGAATACTGGAGAATTTGTTGTTAGTACTCCTTGTGAATCAGCTCAGAAGTATTGGATTGGAGCAGCAGCTAATGTAAGGATAATCTTTTTCATTTTTTTCTTGGATAAGATAATGTAAGGATCACCTTAAAAGCGTAGCGTTGCGCGTTTTATAATTCTTGCCTCAGTTATATTTCATATTACTACAAATTCCCAATAAGGTTCCTCCATCGGCTGTCTGTACACTGATATATTACTTTTCTTGGTGATGTTCAGCATGCCACACACTCAATAGTCTTTTCACAACTCAGTATTTCCGGGAACAACCAAGGTGTCCATGCTCTTATAGCCCATATCAGGATGAAAATGGTAATGTCTGTCCAGGAGTTCGTATTGCCGATTGTGGTCACAAAATTGGCTTAAATGGTGTTGATAATGGTCGAATATGGTAATCATGTTTTTAGTTTTCAGTTTAATTGACTATTCATGTCCATTACATATTTCTGTAAGTTCAATTCCGTGGCTTAGAGGATTTAGAAATGTGTTAACATGTTTGACAACATTCGAATTCCAAGGGAAAATTTGTTAAATTCAGTTGCCGATGTTTCCCCGGATGGGAAATATCTGAGTGCAATAAAAGACCCAGATCAGGTAGTTCTATTTCCGGTTGAACATATGTTTAGCTTTTATTTGACAAAAAAAATGTTCTCTCCTTTTATTGACACTTTGTTTCTTTCGTTCAGAGATTTGCAGCATTCATGGCTCCATTGACATGGGGTCGTGTAGCTATAGCAGTCAGTGCCGTTTACTCTTCACAGGTAATGGATTTCATGCATGATGGCAATTAACTATTTTTGCATCTATGTATTTGTAGAGTGATGGATTGCAGATCTCTTCTGCCAACTGAATTTTCATCATTGACACAATCATTTCTTTCCCTATGGTCAGATAAGCATAGCAATAGCCATAAGGTACTCATTGACAAGGCCTATTGCTTGACTACCCTAGTCATCAACAGCGGCGTTTGCCTCTTCTTGCAAAAACGTAAGAATTTTGTGGCATTGTGGTGTCTCAGTTTAATTGGACTTATTGCAATAACAGCTTTTTCACAAGTCAAATTGATACTGTCTGGTTTTTCATGTCTAGGAAATACTTCTTGTTCTCATTGTTGTTAATAATTAAAACAGCCAAGTTAATAATGTATCTGCTACTTCTGTAACCAAACTGAAGACAAATTCTGAAAGTTCTGTTCTTGTTGGTGTCAATATTTCAGTGAACATGTATTTAATTAGAAAAAGTGAATAATAGATCAGGAATGGTCTATTATTCACTTTTTCTATTACGCCTTGATGGTCTATATGAACTGCAATTTCTTGTTGGCATCCCTGACGCTTTTCTGAGTCCTATAGCCTTTAACTGGATCGATTCAAATTAATGGTCTTCAGTTGAGCAGCACAAGTCAGCAGTTTCTCCCAAAGTCCCTCATCCCTCACTTTGAGTTGAAGAAAATAAAAAATAAAAAAATAATCTGCTGGCTTTTGAACTTGAAAAATAGGCATAATTTTTAGCAATGAATCCTGCTATTGTTTCTATTTAGTTTGAGCCCTCTGTTGGTGTTTTCAGTAATCTCTTGTTGATTCATTTTTTTATTTTCTCTGTTTTTCTTGAATCTAATTTTGTTTTTGAAACTAACAAGTACTCAATAATTTAGCTACAGGGCTGTTTGATAACCATTTTGTATTCAGTTCAAAATTTTTGTTTTCACTTTTTTGAAACTGAAAACTAAATCTTGTTTAGTAACTATTTTCAATTTTTATTTTTAATTTTAAAACCAAAAACTATATTCTTGAGTTTTCAAAATTTGGTTTTCAGTTTTTAGTTTTCATTTTTTTTTAAATAGAAACTAGTTGCTAAATAAAATTTCAGTTTTCAATCGTAAACTAAATGGTTATTAAATGGCTTCAAAAACAAAAGAACTGGATTCAATAAGGATACCAAGGACTTTAAGTAGGTTTTGACAGAAACGTTACCTTGTATTACAAGTAGAATGGATGACTTTGTATTTTGTAGGGTTCCATTCACATCAATCAAAACCAATGAAACTTGTGTGATACGCAAAAATATACGAAAGTAGCACTACAATTATTTTCTGAATGGCTCGATTTGATTCTTTGAAATAAACGGTCCCAAGTGAATCAAGTTGTTTAAAAACTGTCAAGCTTGATACATAATCGACGTGGATTGACACTAAAGGTTCCAAAATTTTGTTGAGATTGGTGGAGAGTAGAGCCGGAGATAGCCCCCTTTTTTTTTCTTTTTTTTTTTGTCAAACGACAGATTTTGTTAAATTAGCTAAGGGTTTGAATCCCCGCCGTCATGCAAGGACCCAACACCTTTCCACTACTATGAAAAAGGGCCACTTGCGCCAGAGATAGACATTGGGTGTCTAAAGTCATGTCGTAGGTGCTGGTTCACTGTCTTGTTTGAGACAACACCAACTTCATTGAGCATGCATCGATTCCAAATCCAGAAACTTGAGTTGGGCCCCTCGTGACCGGTAGAGTAACGCGACCGCGGGCGAAGAGCACAAACGAAATGTCAATAAACTCTTGCAACTTGACCACTTCACTGTTATATTCTATGTACACGCATCGGTTCAAATCCGGCATCAGGCTTTTTGCTAGCTTCTCACTTATCATTCTTCCCAACTTCTGTAGAAGCCTAAGAAGTGAGCCTTCCCATCTTCTTCTGCAGGTCAGATCCTTTGGAACTTTTCTTTGCCGTGCCAAACTTGAGCTCCAACTTATATAGTGCACAGGCGTCTGACTTGTTGGCTTCATACTCAAACAAATGCCACTCGTAATCGCTTGAAGGTTGTGGATCCATATACTAGGACCTTTCCTGTCCCCCAAATTCCTTCATCACCTGCTTTCTTGATTCATGCCAACTGCGCCCGCTGTAGTCTGGCAGTGATCTCTGCTTCCTGTTTCCACTCTCAAAGGCCCTTCTAGGCCTACGAAAAAAGAGCCACTCCTAAGCGTTTCACCCTTGAGGAAAGAAATATCAGGTCGCAAAACTGGAGTGTTCCCAGGAAGACCTTCATTTCTTGCTAAAAAAGCATGACAACTACTGCAATAATCCTGACACAAAACTTGAGCAGGCCTGAAACAATCCCAAAGAGCACATTTTGGCCCTAAGAAAGCAGATTCTGGAGGACATATATCCGGTAGAACATGTGGCACAACATCCTCTTCAGATTGTTTAATGTCATTGCGACTGATGAAAGGCCCTTCATTTAAGTAATTAGGAAATTCAAGTGATTATCATTTATTTGAGTTGCCAAATCTGAGCTATGAACCACTGTATTCTGGAAACTGGACGCAGTGGCATTGGTCAAAGTCCAATCCTTGAAAAATATCTTCTCGAGGTTCCTTAAAATTAAGAAACGAAAAGGTCCTCAAAAGTTTGTTAAGCATGGAGCTCATCAGTAATCAATCACAACTCAAATGGACATATCCTTACATTCCGAAACCACAATATGGAAGAACAACGAGTACTGCCCAGAATACAATAAATCAAACTAAAGCAAATCCTATGCTTAATTTCCCAATTCATGGTTTCTATCTTCCATTCCACGTTTGGGTCAACTGCCAAGACGTACAATTACTCACCAAAAAGCAACCGATATGGGAAGAAAACATCGAATTAGACTTTAAAACTACCTAAAACTTGCACAAAACATCCCTAAATCAAACAAACTCCGTTTTTCTATAAACCTCTTGGCAGTTGAGAAAGTTATGTGAAGGAAGATAAACACCAAACAATGTCAAATATACCTCAAAATCGTGTTTGTTTAACGAATTCCACAACAGTTTTAGCAAAACAAGAATTCCGCAACAGAATAGGAAAACCATGTTGCACTAAATGCTAAGACATCAAGAAGAATGTCATATGAAAATTTAGCTAATATAGGAACAATAAAGTGCATGACTCGTCTGCTTCAGTCGTTGGCAATCTTCCACTTGAAACGGAAAAGTATTCACTTCTGTAAATTCCGTGAAATTACTCAAGCGAAGGTTTTGAAGATTAGGTTGTGGCAATTCCTTTAATGGACTTTGTGCATCAACCTTCTCATCACAGTGTTGTTTCAAGAGCCGGGCTAACTCCTAAGAAAATGTTCCAAGGCTTCCGAGGCTACCACCAACTGAGTTTGCATGTAATTGAAATTTATACACCTATCAAGCATTACTTGATAGAAAAACACGAAGTGCGCAAACATAAACACAAAGCGAGAAAATGAGGAAAACCCACACGTAGAGAAGATGCCGGGAGGGGTCATTGAGCTCGGCATCCCACCCGCCAAGCATCCGATGCATTTGTTCCTCCCAGATGGAAATGTCGGCAGTTCGACCCTCTTTCCTGGCCATTTGAATATTGGTGACCATCCCTTGAAGCTCGTGGACTGAGTCTTTGTTGTTTTCGTCAGTAACTTGCAAGAAGCAGCGTCACACTTGCCCTTGGAGTCCCTCGTCTCTCTCTCTTCCTCTTCTAATAAAATCCCTAAAAAGAAATTTAAAAATATTTCATTAATCTTTCTTGTATTTTAAGTGAGAGATCTTAGTCTCGATTCTCACCAAAAGTGAATTTGAATCACATTATTACTATCGTTTGTTAAAAAAAAAAAAAAAAGTAAATACACAATCATAATTAGAAAATTAAGTGTCATTTACTATTACAGTCTAGTGATATTCTTCTTCACTTGTAAGTGAGAGGTCTTACGTTCAAGCCTCATCAAAAGCGAATTTGAACCATATTGTTACTAGCTATTATGATGCTAAATTCACCCTCTCCCCAGAAAATATTGTATTTTCATAAAAATAAAAACAAAAAATTAAACGAATAAAAAACATAATTGAAACAATATTGGGGATAATACAAACCCTAATTATAAAAACCCAGAGAAAGATGAATGTTGAATGGAATGGAAGAATGAAAAGCAGAGGAGAAAGAGAGAAATTATATACCTCAAAGCAACTGCCCATTACCACAATGGTGCAAAACAATCAACTGAATTTAAACGTTTCTGCAGATTTTTGGGTTCGCAGATTTTGGCTGCTCTTCCCTTCCCCCCTTCCGCGATTTGTTCACTCACTGAACCTTTCGTCCCTCTTTGTTCTCGACTTTTTCTCCATTTTTTAGGTTATCTCTAACCGAAATAGCTAAACCTAATCCCGTTCAAAATTAGTCTTACAAAAAAATATTTTTAAATGAACAGTATCAGGTCATACCCATATACCATCCTCATACGAAGGGCACATAAGCCTTCAAAATTTATTAATTTTAAGTTTATACTTTATATTTATTGGTTAATTTAATTAAACAATTGTTTTTTTTTTTTAATAAAGTACAATATTCATTAAGCAACTTGGAATACGTACAAACTAAGGATAGTGTGCATACTGGGCCTCGATAAAAACCTTGCCGGAGATTTCAACCCAGTCTAAGGAAAAGAGTGTCCCACACAATAATTAGCCTATTCCCAAATGAACAATATAAATGGAAACTACAATCCTTCCTCAAATAAGATGTCTTAAATCAAATCGGGAGGCTCCTCAAACCACACCAACTACTGAGAAACACCAAGGCCCATTCAAGCAAGCCGATACGCTGCTAAGTTACCGTCCCTCCGTACGTGGCTACACTCTGAATTCGGCAATCCTGAGAGAAAGAATCTCAAATCATTTATAACAGAGCCCTAAATAGAATAATCATCCCCGTTACCCTTCATGGCCGCCATCACCACACTAGAGTCTTCTTCAAAATTAACTTCACATCGTTCAACTATCAACTCTTAATCAATCCCACCGCACAACGCACTGCAACCAATACCAATTCTGAGTGAAGAGCTGACACGGTTTGATCAATGGGTCCAACAGTGGCTGCTAGGAATTCACCCATGTGACCCCTAACCACGACGTCATAGCCCATCCCCTTCCCCCCCCCCCACATGGGCATACGCCACCTTGACTCCAAGCCCCATCAAAGTTGCATTTGATCCACCCCTCCTTAGGTTTCCTCCATTTCTAAACTTCCTTGGTAGCCCTTCGAGACTCAAATTTATGCCAGTTTTGAAACTCATGCATCCAACCCTCAGTTCGCAGTACAATTTCCTGTGGTGGCAACCAAGACCCATTCCATAGTACATCATTC